GTCGTGCGTTAAAATGGCACAGCATTGTGTTGCAGCCTAGCGCAGATTTGACAGCCCGTATCTGTGGCGTATTCCTGTCAATGGCAAAGATCCTTACTGATTATTTCCCGACCAGCACGTCCTTAAACTAGCGAAATAGCTTGCGAAAAATCACGGAGTTCTCACTTTTAACGAAGGCATACAGGATGGGTCCCCCGATACCCATGCCATCCATAACAAAGATAATACCCAGCTTGTGCCTTCACAGTTAGCCTCAGAAGCTCTTGAAATATTTACTCAAGACGATCCGTCTTGTGCATGACATCAACGTCTACTACATCCGGGAAACATCCAAAGAGCGCGATCTGCAGGAAAAGCACATGTGGCTAAAGCCACAACTCTCGGATCCCACCATCCGTACACGACCAAAATATCGAATCTGGTATATAATCAGAAAAACCAAAATGTAACCATCGACCTACTCTACAGTGGAGATTGACATTTGACGTGATAGCTGTAAACAGCCTGGACAGCCACTGTCTTCCCAAGATGATCTACAACTTATCGGCAAATCTCCGACGACAGAGCACCATGCGTAAAGAGGGAATTACACTCCTGGAATTAATCTCTTGTCATGCGCCGGTTGGGGAGTAGCCCATTAAAAAATAGAATTGCTAAGTGGGTGGTTGTGCTTCAAGTGGCTGGTAGTACCGTGTGATGAACATGACTGATACTCTATTCATTGCTCTATTCATTATTCTCTTGTTTTAGTATTCCATATGCTGTACATATTCGCCAATTCGAATACATACGTGCTGGTTGTTACGCTTCGCTGAATTCCGGATTTCTAGTTCGTCTGGTTATACCGATATACGTACGAAACTTAATTCTCACATACAACCAAGTAGTTAATGTACCAGCGAAATGGGAATCTGGCCGGCAACCAGTACAACGTGTGCAATCGTTTACAAACACGGCGAAAAACGTACTAGGTGAAATGAATCCCACGGCCTTGACCTCGTATCAGGAAATGTCTGCTGCAACCGTAGAACAATTTTTAAATTAAACTAGAGAATTGCTGCTCTTTTTGGAATTATGCGGATGAAAACTATGGAATTATTCATCAGGTAATCCCCAAAAGCGATCTTAAATGCATCGAAGGAAGAAAATTGGACAGATCAACTTCTCTACAAATCGTCCACCGTTTTCACGCACAAAACGTGCTCAGTTATGCCAGCCACTGCATACATAAATCCCGCGCTCATAGTGGGCCTTGAGTAATTTTAAACAACGAAAAACAGCACCCGCACTACAGTTCTCGAGGAAATCAAATAAATGCCAGTAGCTGCTAAAACTTTATATTACAGATCCCATCTTCGATTTATGGTTTCAGGAGAATTTCGGGTGTGCGTCTAAGGCTTGATTGAAGCCATGGCACAGCAAGCTCATAGTCGAATGCATGTCATAAAATCAAGAGGCAGAATAGTTCAAACAAATTGCGAAAAATGATCGAACGCTTGAGTGATCATTGGTTTACTCACATAAGCAATGCATTGCAACATTTTGGCATATAAATTCTAATAGCATTCGTGAATTTGTTCAGATAAGAGCATTGTGTATTTTGTGGTCAGTTCTTAATGCCTTGTTCGCGTCAAACACGTTTTGTTTAGGAAAACAGAATAACAAGCGAGGTTGCTCCGATATAAAGCGAAATGATATTCTCAATGCTATCATCGGATTAAATAATTGGTGTCGTACGTCCAGACTAAGGCATCCAAGTGAATACCTGGTGAACTCGTCCGCCCTTGTGAGGTTTAGTTGGTACAATATTGGCACATAGGTGGCCAACATAAAATTCAGCGCGGAAAGTTGTTTTATTAAAGCTAGCGTGCTTTTGTGTGTAATATAATTGACTGGTCCTAAGTTCATGCGGACGGTTAGAAAATTGTAATCTCTTTGCGTTAACGTCCAACCGATTGCTTGCTGCGCGCTTTAAGGAGGTCGCAACTACTATTCTGTATTAGAGAAAATTGAGTCGCAACTTTTCGAGGTTGCTGCATATTGAGCGGAGCCGGACCAAATATTTTGCCAGATTTTCTATTCCAAACCGTTTGGTTAATTTTGGACCTTATTCATTTAAAGAAACCAGCGCTAGCATGAGGACTACAAATTGTGTAATCGGGACAAACATGACGCTAGACTTTTGTGGAATTAAGCCTCAGCATATATCCGGTAACTAGCTATTTACCTGTGCGGATACGGATATTTTCACACTATTTCGTTAGTGGCAGTTAGGCGATCGAGGTACACCCACTCGACCACTTGAATGGCTAATGTGCCTGGGTTCAACTCGTAGCCAGACAAACTGTGTGTCAAGTCCCACTTGTCCGTTACAGCCAGTACATTCACGGAGCAGAAGCGGTACGCGACGATTCGTTTACACAAGTCTTATCTACTTGAGCCAATGCAACTTATTAGAAAAATATGACTGCCCTTGCATGTAGGTGCTTCTACCGCGCACAGGGCCTCCTGGATCGAATTGCTCCGAGTCGGGTCCAGTGGAAAGTTGGCAGCGGCTCAAACCAAATCCATTCATCAGAGCGCATTGACTCAATCTATGGTCACACCCACCAGATAATTTGCAGGCAAAAAAATAACATTCCTGGATTTGGCCATAAAAAACGAAAGACCGTTGAGCAGGTGTTAGTTAACGCCTTACTGGGACATAGTGACCTCTGTGCTGATCTTTGATTTTCTCTGCTACTGGACCAGAAATCCCAAACCTCAAAAATGTGCATCCGGAACGATTGTCATGCGAACTTCTCGGGAATATGTAGCCATGTTGATCATGTGAAAGTGGGACCAGCTTCAGTGGAAGACCATTGTCCAGAAAGTTCACAAGGTCGTCGTGGCGTCCGTTACAAAAAACCAGCACGCAGTGAGCTGCACCGCAAGCTACCCAAAAGGATTCAACATCTTTCGGAAAAGAAGTGGCAGCTATTTTTTCACA